AAAAAGCCGAATAATCCCATATTATTACTTACTACTTTCAAAATAAAAAGAAAAAAAAAAACCCCCCCCACTGCATGCGATTCTACGAAACGATAGCACCACCTAACAAGCAAAGCAAAGTAAGCGAGTAAGCAGAGCAAAGCAAGCATTATACTCGATTAACTATTAAAAGCCAATCAATCCATCTCCAAGCGATTCTCCCCCCCCCCCGAAAGGCTATCTCTTATTCACCTGAAAAAATATGCTGCTACAAAAACACAAAAAAATTGTTTAGCTTTCAGCAAGGAGAGGGGCTGAATTCAGAATTCAGAATTCGAATACCACAACCAACCAACCAACCAACCAATCAACCTGGCGCCGGAAGAAAAATGAAGGATGAAAATGATTGAAGGTTATCAACGCCACCTACTACTTGACCACAAAAAGAAATTTGATTCCTCTCACGTACTTAGGTAGCGCTCAACACTCGAGAATCCCTCGCCTTCAGAGTGATAATACCATAGCATTTACTTGCATTTGCTATCAGCTTTTAACCTGCCAACCTCCGAGACCTCGCCTATCGAACATGAACTTGCTCTTCATTCAATCCTGAATTTACGATACTCTAAGAGGTACTGTAGTGGATAGCGCTGTCTGCAAAGTGCGTTGCCGCTCGCTGAATGAGTGAAAACGAGCCTCCTGGTGAAACGAGCCAGCTGTGGAGTACCGCATGCTGTCCGTCGGTGGTATAATCAAAATGTAGACTGCGAACTTCGAATCCCAAGATGAAGGTTCCCCTCCTCCCCCCTCCGCCCCCCAAAAATGCCTATTAAAGGGACTCTCTTATACCCTCCTGAAGGTGCCATTATTCGCGACTACACACAACCGGTGAGCTACCAATCAGTCTCCAACTTGTCCCAGGGCATGTCCTCCTCTTTGATATCGATAGAGAGGAAATGCTGCTGACGCCAATCTACAATGGCAAGGTTTCGTCAGCTGCATATTCAGGAAGAGAAGTCGTGGGAATTCGGGGCGGGATGTGCGGAACAAGATCCACTGAGACTGAGGATGGTCGACTCACAGTTTACTTGAGGGCGTAAATCAAAATAGAGCTTGTTTTCCAGTATTTTTCTCAAAGGAACACAGAGATCGGATTCGATTTGATTCGTGATAACACGGAGTGAATCTGAATCTGAGTCATACCCAGGAAGGCGGAGAAAGCCGCCATCGCTCTTATCGACACAGTCACTCAAGTAGTCATACAATTTTCTGTAGAACAAAGCACGTTCTGTCATCTGGTCACCCCTTTCCAAATCCGATTGCGAAAATATCTCTGGTAGATCGATGAACGAGGCGGAATCCATGCTCATCTTCCACATGAGTACTTGCTGGATCTTCAGGACGTCTTTACTGAGACCTATCCACGCTCTGTCGAGAAGCGTTGCAAGTTCGGAGTCCGCCCTTACCAACTCCTCATATACTTCCTGACCCTCTATCGATTCTTGCCATCTGCCGACCGCATGTATGAATGCCTCTCTGAATAATAGCGGATGGCGCAGTTTCTTTGCAATGAGCAAAGCCCGACAACAGCATAAATCAAAGAAGCATGATACAAACATAGGGCTCCGGAAAAGACCAATGGTGAGTGTGTTCGACAGGGCTGGCCTGTTTGAAGTCAGTAGTCTACTCACGAGACTTGGTCCTTAACATATCGGGCAATATCCTGACATGCGTTTCTTGTCACCAGAGAGTTACTTACAAAGCCCTGTAGGTTTCAGCTTGATTTGTCATGGTCTCCAATTCCTCGACATCTTGGATCTTGTAAGGGCGGGTATAAATTGCACAGAGAAGCTTGAAGAATGCGGTCGCTTCGGATTTCTCGCGGAATCCGATAGCTGGTCCGGTATATGTTTCGGGCGTGGGGAAATCCTGTAATGTATTAGCAGTTAATCTATAAGACTGCGCAAAGCCGAAGAAATCTGGATCCGAAAAAGCATACCCTGTTTACTCGCTGGAGGGACCATTCAATCCCCTCTTTATCAAAGACCGATATGTACTCATACAGAAACTGGGCTGACCGGGGTCCTGGGCCGATATCCTGACGGTCGAAAGAGGCTCGAAAGTAACCAGACTTCACCCGTAAGATGGCAGAGTGAAGATGGTATTCCTTGTCAAAGACCATAATCCGGACATCCGGGATCAGAGTTGAGGAGAAGGAGATTACAGGACCTTTGTCGATATTCTCCAAGACATTATTTGAGGAGTGGTCGAGCCGGCGTCCCATATTATGAAGGGCCACCGACATCTTGCAAAGTGGTAGACTGATTGATGGCAATGCACGATACGAATGAATATGATGGTGAAGATGGAGGAGATTGTGAAGGAAGAGGTGAAGGAAGAGGTCAAGGAGAAGGAGAAAACTTCCCAAAATCCAAAGAGAGAAGGAGCGAATAGTTCTGATGATCACGGGACTCGTTCGTCACTTGGGCTTTGATACACTGCAAGGGCGAGGGCGAGGGGGAGGGCGAGACAGATTACGTCTTACATCTTTCTTCATGCTGAGCTATTGAGAGTCAGCTACAAGTTGAAATTGTATTGCAATCTGTGAAGATTTTTTATCTTTTTTGTGTCAAGGAAATCGGGCTGGTAAATATAACTTGGCGAATTGCTCGGGCCGTTATGGGCCGGGCCGGCCGTGAGTGTCCCGACGACACCTCCTGACCCCGACGTCCTGTATCTAACAAATTTCCCAGCATTTGTGTAGAGCGACATCAACAACGGCACCTTTTCGCTACCTGGCTCTACCAATGCTTTGGATATCGAATGCGCACAAGTTTCGCTAGTAGATAAAAATGTAGCATCAATTCGCATCATGGAGGATAATTCGAAAGCTCCGCGGCTGGTAGCATCCACAGGGAATACATACAGCTGCTCCATCGTTGACTCCCGGATCCGCGAAAGCGAACGGCGGGAATATAATGGCGTAACCACTGGCGAGGGATTGGACCCGGGGCTAAATTCGAAAGAAGAAACTCTGGCAAAAAGGGGGCGGGGAATCAGGACCGAAGACGATGTGGAAGTCAACTACTTCAAGAGCGCCCAATGGTAAGCCCCTTTACCTCTCTTTCAAGACAAAACTCTTTCTGATAGAAAACAGGACTCCAGACGGTACCACCCTCCTGACTTCCTCCGCCGACAACGCAATCCGGACTTTCATCCTTCCGCCAGATCTCCTCACGGATACCTCCCCACCACCCCTCACGTCCTACACAACCCACCCTTTCCCAACCCCCATCAACCGTCTAACACCCTACCCGTACTTCGCCCTCTCCGACCCCTCTACAACCCTCTACCTCAGCACGCCCTCCTCTCTCCCCATCCGCCTCCTCAACGCCCTCTCCCCGCTCACCACCCCCGTCGCAACCTACAACCTCATATCCCCCACAACGGAAGCCTACTACACGCCCTCCTCCCTGCTCTGGAGCACGCAAAACTCCTTCCTGGCCGGCACCGACTGCCTGATCGCGTGCTTCGACGTCTCGCGCTCCGGCGAAGGCCCCGCCACGCGCATGCCGACCATCCCGAGCAAACGGCACAAAATGAAAGGCGGCGGCGTCGGCATGCGCGGCATCGTGTCCGCGCTCTCGCAGCAGCCGTCGCCCGAGAACGCCGATGCGGGCATGCTGGCTGCGGGAACCTGGACAAGGTGGGTTGGGCTGTATGATGTCGGTGGCATGGGGGGTACGGTTGCCACGTGGGGTATCCAGGAGGCTGCTGATGGCGAGGCGGGCATTGGAGGGACGGGGGTGAGCGAGACGGGGTGGAGTGCTTGCGGCCGTTACTTGTTTGTGGTGGAGAGGAAGAGTAGGGGGCTTCTGGTTTACGATGTTAGGGTTACGGGCAGACTGGTTTCTTGGTTGGTGGGCAGAGAGGCGGAAACCAATCAGAGGTTGGGGGTGGGCTTGTTCGAAGGGGAGAAGGGAACCGAGGTTTGGGCTGGGGGCACTGATGGCGTTGTTAGGGTTTGGGAGGGCGTGGGGATGACTGAGGGTGCTATGGAGAGGAGCTGGGAGTGGAAGGCTCATGATGGCATGTCTGAGATGAACTATGAATGGGCTTCGGCTAACGTGGCGGCAGATCCTGTATCGTCAACGGCGGTACACTCTTCCGGAACGGTGGTAGCAACTTGTTCCGGGCAGAGATCTTCTCCAGAGCTTTGGTCCAGTAATGGATCCGAGAGCGAGGAGAGCGACAGCTCTGACGGTGAAAGACCCGAGGACGATTCGGAACGAGATTCTGATTCAGAACAAGAGACGGATTCAGAAGGAAGCTCTGGCTCCGGCTCTAGCTCTCGGCTATCGTCAACTTCAAGTCTATCGCCAGAGCCAGTCTCTAGGTCTCCCGATAACAGCATTAAAGTATGGAGTTTATGACCCTTATCTAGCTACGCTATTGCATGTGTGACATTTCAAACCCCTATTTGACCCGCTTAGCGGCAAATTCCCAGATCATCTTACATCAGCAAATATAGCAACCCAAAAACCACCCAGCAACATACCAAGCTTTATCTCATGAAATCTCCACGCCTTATATATCACTCCCAAGCAGTATCGATAGCCGCACCAACCCTCTCCAACACCCTCCGTCCAACATGACCACCCAGCCTCGTGATGCGCTCTTGCCTGCCCATCTTCATGAAAGCCGCGAGCCCGAATCGTTCGGCCTGACTGGGACTGGCCACATTTACACCTTCCGGGGCCTTGAGATCAGCACTGACTGCCTGGGCCGCAAAGGCATTCAATCCCGCCCGTCGGAGGAACATTTCCCAGTGTGTTTCTTCAGGTAACAACTCCGTGTCCGCAGGATGCTGCACGACAACACTCGCAATCCACCGGGCCAGCGTCGCATCGCCGCCTCCAACAAAGTGCACGCCTACAGCGGTCTCGAAGGCCGAGGCGAAGCCGATGAACTCCGCCAGGGCGAGGCAATCGCTGTCGTCCAGTCCGTTGGTGCTCTCGTCCAGGTTCCCCTCGCTGACGAACACGACGAGCTTCTCGTATCTCGGGCAGACTCTCTCCAGCCGCTCGCGGATCGCAGGCTTGGACTTCTGCGACTGGCCAGGGAGGGCCCGCTGCTTGATCTTCTGCAGCGTGGTGAGGATGATGCCGGTGGTGGGGGAGAGGATGAGATCGGCTTCCGAGTCGAGCGGTGATTTCACGGGGGAGCGGGTCACGGAGCCGGGCATCCAGGTGCTGGTGTTGTGGGCTGTAAAGTCTCGCTCGACGAGCTTGAGGGAGGGGAGCTGGCTCTCAATATGCTTGATCAAGGCGCGGTTCTTGAGCAGTGTGGACGAGATGATGATGTTGGCTGCCGTGTTGGATGGAGCTATGATCGGGATAGGCAACTTCTCTTGTTTCATGAGGGGAGATGTTCGGATCGGTATGCCTGCCTGCTGAGGAGTGGCGACTATCAATGGCTGACTTCCCGGTACAAGAGCCTTGGTGGTACTTCCAAAGTAGATACTGTCTGTAAGCTTCGGTCTCTTCGCTCCACGAAGTTCAAGGTAGTGGTTGAGAGAGGCTTCTGCCGAGAACTGGCTCCCTAGCATTCCCAGCTCGCCGCTAACAAGCTGCCCCGTCGCTGAATTACTAGTGGAAGCAGAATGCTTTGGCTTATTGATTGGAGTAAACCCAGATACCGCTGGGACATTATTACCCTCAACGGGGTTGTTCTTTCTGAAGTTGTCTCGCTCTTGCAACTCCATCTTCCTTTTCTTGACGATGAACGACAAGTCTTGAGGAGAGTCTGTTTGGATTTGACCAGGCTCGATCTCGTCGTCGTCGTCGTCTTTGCCATCTCTCAGGATCTTCAGTCCGGGTTGCTTCCAGATCAGACTTGAGCTGTCGATAGCATCCTGGTCATCTTTCACGAACGGTTTCCAAGTGCTATTATTGTCCTGATACTCCTCTTCGAGAGCAAGCTTTGCAAATTCGGAAGTGAAGGGAGACCACGGTAGACTGCTATCTCTTTTCCCAGATCCGGGCCAAGTGGGTATGCTTCTAACCGTTTCTCGAATGAAGGACTTCTGCAACTCCAGCAGTGCTGACGGCTCCTTGATCTGGTCAAATTTATGCCACGGTGGATCTGGCTTTCGAAAGTCCATGACACGAACGTCGACTCTGGCTGTGGTGTCGGCTCGAATAAGCGTTTCTTGCTCAAGTTGCTGGTTCACACTTTCGTATGCAGGTCCGAATACCTCTTTGAAAAAGGTGCTCGTACCAGGAGGCGTACGTGGGCTGCTGCTTGGCTTGATATCTAGCTGCTCAATGATATTGCTGAAGCGAACAAATTTGTGAGTCGGAGCCCGCATTTTTGGTGTCATTGGCTCCTCCACCTTGAGATCTCCCAGCTTGACCCTCTTTTCTTCTTTGATCTTCGGACTGTTATCAAGAGACGCCAGTGGTGGATAAACCTCTTCTAGGCTCATCGTCCCCGAACTGCTATCTAAATTGTTCAGGCTAGGCTGTACTATCAGTCGGGGCGGAGTCGGGATGTCCTGTTGGAATAGCTCTTTCTCGATTGCCTCAAGATCCTGTTTAGTTGGTGAGATGGCATCGGAGAGGATTGGAACATGAAATGCTGGGTCATCTTCAGCGGGTTCGAAGGGCTCAGGCTTGACAGGCAATGGCGAAAGTGGAGGGGTGATAGGCTCGAAAATAGTTTTCTGCAAAGAATCCGTAAACAATTGTTTTCATGGTTGGGGGGCATTACTCACCCTCTTGTATGTCTGCTGCGTATCCCACAGGCTCTTCTCGTCGTCTTCCGTCAGGAAAACGGCCAGGGATTGCTGCAGGAAACTCATCGTATCTCTGGTAATGCCGATTCTCTCTTGCTTCAGCTCCTGTGATACCTCAGCACCTAGATGCGCAAACTTCGATGTCCAGTCAAGGCCCTCTTCATCCCTAACGGCCTCCAGGGGAAGTTTGACATCGCGAAGCTTGATCTCGAATCCCTCTCTATTGGCAAAGTCTCTACAGTCAGTTTCGTGGTCAGTCCTCAGCAGGGGAAGTTCCAATTTTTGGATCCGGTTGCTGCTGGGAGCGTTGAAGTGGGCGTTGATGAGAGCGTCGCCATCTTTTGCAAAGGTCTCATTTGCGACCCACGACAAAATCACAGCTGCCTCCTTCGAGCAAGTCAGGCGCTCTTCAATCTTAAGCTCCGCACCAAAATTAAAGAGCGGAAGGTTGGAATCCTCGTAAACGGCGCCAGCTGCTTTTCTCTGGAGGTCCTGAAGATCAGACCATCCCAGAGGAGCCTGGAGGTAATCACGACAAAGTCCATGCTGGCGAGCATAGAGCAGTGGGGGGAGCTCATCCTCTTCGTGCTCACTTGATTGTGGGTGCATGTCTGGTGGTGCCGAAAGGACCTGTGGCAATGGAGCCTCGAGGAAACGCTCCATGGCGTATGGGACTGCCTCGAGCATCTGGATTTTGGAAGAATCATCCATGGCCTCCCGCATATGTTCATGTGGTCGGGGACGAGGCCTAAATGAGGGTCTAATCATACAGAAGTTGCGGAAGAAGTCGCGGAAGAAGCTGCGAAATATCGGGATAGAGATAGGAATAGAGATGGAGATGAAAATGTGAGAAGGAAGATAGAAGATGGAAGAGAAGCGAAATTGTCGACTCGAACACGTGGTCCGGTGGGGGGTCACAACCGAGAAGGGCAGGAACTCGTCAAGAGAGCACAGAATATCTCTCGACATCGTCATTAACGATTGCGCAGACTAACGCAACAAGTTAAGAAGTGCAAAACTTCTATCATCCCTATCTCTATTCAGTCCCCAGCAAGTTCGTGCCAGGATATAGGGGTTGATGCACACAGTGACTCGGAGGTATGAATAGGGAAATGCGAGGTCCAGATGGGTCAGTTTGTACACTCGATCTCAATTTTCATTGATACCTGCATAATCAAAAGCGTGATTTCTACCACACCTACGGTAGATGCTCGCCCATCCTCGCTCTCATGCAGTATGACAGCCTGAACACCAGACTCCGATTGCCCTTCCATTCAACATTTCCAATCAATACAACCCATTTTTAGCACCATTCGTCCTCCCACTCTGCCCAGAATGAAATTGTCCTAGCTGCAAGCTTCTAACACCTTCTCTCGACCCCCCAATCTTGCCGGCCACACTCAACAGCCCGCCCTCGAAATCTCGCAGTACGCCGAATAGCTCGCCTTCGTGGTCTTCTTGGCCAGTAGACATGCCGTTTCGCTTCGCTACCAATGCATTGATTTGCTGCGCGCTGTTGGCTTCCACAGATCTCAGATGCTGTTCTATTTCAACAATGTGTTTATGGTAGGTGTTGAGCGTAGCAGCCAGTTCATCAGCAGTATTCGCAAAAAAGCTAACGATATCCTGCGCATCCGAATCCCCGTTCTCGGCTCCTCCGTTGCTGTTTGAAGTAGAATTCTGCGCCCAAACGCCTTGATTGTGGTATTGCGGAGGCAGTTTCAAGTTATCGATGGCTTTGAAGCTTAGCTTTGCGTGCTCGGCATCGACTTTGATGAAGCGTCCGACAACGGAGATGGCTTGTGCGTCAGAATCTTGCGAGTTCTCTACTCCAATGAGTTTCCGGCGACAGAACTCCACATCGTTGGGAATCTGGGCGAGTTGGTTGTCGTGCGCGGGCATAATGGCGTCACAGTCGGCCTTGAGTCTAATTTGCCCTTGGATGACATTGTCAAAGAGGGTTATTTGCTTTTGCAGCTCGTCATGGAGGTCGTTGAAACGGGTTGTGCCTCGGATCTGGCTGGCATCGATTCGGACTCCGGGCACGGTTTGAGGTTGTTGGTTTGTAGATTGTCCTAGAGAGAGTCCGCCGCCTAAGGGAGCACCAAATAGACCCGAGCCTTGATTTTGGTTAGACATAGAGTTGGGCTGTTGCTGGTTTTGGGATTGTTGATTTTGCGCTGTGCTTCCGCCACTTTTTTCCGTTAGCTAAGATTCCAACAAAGGAGTTGATACACGTACAACATAGATCCTGCTGGCTTGTTCTGGTTGGCATTTAGACTAGCGAAAAGCCCACCACCAGAAGCACTGTTTTGAGCTGGAGCTGCCGTAGCAGCTGCGCCAAAGAGGCCGCCAGCTTGCTGAGGTTGGGATGCTGCAGTTGAAGCCCCGAACAGTCCACCCGTCTGGGCTGGCTGCGTAGAAGAGGCATTTCCAAATAGCCCCCCAGTCGACTGAGTTTGCGCGGTTCCAAATAACCCCCCAGTCTGCGGTTGTGTCGTCGTCGCGGCCGATCCAAAGAGTCCCCCTACAGCTTGCGGTTGAGTAGTAGCCGTCCCTGCTCCTCCAAACAATCCTCCTGTCGCTGGAGCTGGTGCTGCTCCAAATAATCCTCCTGCCGCTGGTGCACTCGTCGCCGCTGCGGATCCAAAGAGCCCACCCGTCTGCGGAGCAGATGTTGTCGTAGAGCCTGCAAACATTCCGCCGGTTGCAGATGTTGTAACTGAGCCACTAGGTCTGCTGTTAGATTTACAGATCCCGAGCTTTGCGACCCCTGGTCCTCGCGGTCCGGGGATGCTTACGGTATTGAATTGGCAGAGTTGGTATTGATGCTGAGTCCGCCGGGTCCACTTTGTGTGCGAGCCAAGGTCATAGTCTTCTATGCGCCTTCCAATGGTATAACTTCAGTGGCTGGTGAAATTTGTGGGTGCTGGTTGGAATGCGACCTCGAACCTTAGCTTTTGGGGAGACGCGTCGCTGGGATTTTGGAGATGCGCTAAGCGAGCAAGCTTGCCAAGTACCTTGCAGCTCCGACGTCAATCCAAAGCTTCCATTTCCTGTCGCAACACGAGTGCTACAGAGCCGCCAAGATGGATGTCGATGAAGATGATGACTTCTATGCTGATGAGAAAGGGGGGGAGGAGACTACTCAAGAACCCGAAAAAGCTGCAGAAACCCCTCAAACGACTGCCAAGCCGGCGCAGGATGATGGAGATCTCGAGGAGGGCGAGGAGGAAGACGAGGCGGACGAGGATGGGAGCGATTCAGTATGCGCAGGTATTGAGATATGCAGGACAAATACTGATGCTGGATCAGGACATAGATATCATCACCGAGCGAAAAGATGGATTAAAAGCTCCCCCGCCTTCGTATGTTCATCCGCTTCAGACTGCCGGACAGGATTGACCAGATGTAGCCAGCCCAAATATAACGAGATTCGAAATATCAACACAAGGACGACTTCGAGCGATGTAGTTACGAAGCCTGCTGTGGTAAAAAAGGAATCCTCTACAAAGACCGCTGCGCTGCCCACTGGAGGTGCTGATCTCCCAGGCATCTCAACTTCCAAGATTGATGTCAACGCGAAGCCCATCTATGAACCTGCAGGGAAGCCAATCACCCAAGTCAACATCGACGAAGGTCAGCTCATCTCTTCTCTGTGCAGTCCTCAGCTAACATATCAGATCTGAACGAGAACGACAAACCTTGGCGCCGACCTGGCACAGACGTCAGCGACTTCTTCAACTACGGCTTCGACGAGTTCACATGGGCACTTTACGCAAGCAAGCAAGAAACTATTCGCTCCGAATTCAGCTCTACGAACCAGAAGAAGATGATGGAAGATATGATGATGATGTCGATGGGCATGCCGGGTATGGTCCCCGGAGCTGCGGGCGGGGCTGGTATGCCAGGTATGCCAGGTATGGAGGGCATGACACCCGAGATGATGCAGCAGATGCAAGCTATGATGGCTGCGGGTATGGATCCGAGTCAAATGGGTGATCCTTCTGCGATGTTTGGTCAGGGAGCTGCGGGTGGTGCGCAAGGTGGGAACCAGGGGTTTGGGGGCCAGGGTTTTGGTCAGGGCCAGAATCAGTATGGGTATGATCAGGGCGCCGACAACAGGAATCGTGGTGGGAACTTTGGGAGGGGACGCGGCGGGAGGAGAGGCGGGTGGTAGTTCTAAAAGTCATGGGGCGTTTCGGATGCATCGCAAATTGGGTCTGGAGTCGGCTCGTTAGGCAACCAGGTCATAACTACATGACCATTTCTGCATTTCCCTTCCATGTCTTTTGGTTTTGCGTAATGATTTTGAATCATGATACTCCATGAGTGATGTCAACGCAGCTGTTTCTACTGGGCTGCTTTTGATATTAGATCTTATATTTCTGCGAGCATTTTACTTCCTCTCTTCCTTCTGCCCCTCAAATCAGGACACACTCCGGGGTCATATCCGGTAGCGCAAAGAACCAGCACTGCTGACCCAGACTCCCGAATATACGTCGGATGTTATCAGATGATAGACCTGTCATGCGTCAAAACCTCTCCAGATGTATAAGTAGAGGGCTTCTCCCTGAGTTCAGCAGACAATCAACCAGTCATTCATTCACCTATCTTTGCGGTTCCCCCGTGTCACCGTTGATTGACATATCGGTAAATTTCACCGCTCTACCAGTATGATCCAATGCTAACGCTCACCAAATCAACACAGAAGCATCTGTCTGGCTCGTCAAGCACCTCAATCGAGCTCCGAGATCCTAGTTATGCGCTCTATCCATTATCTTTTAAATGCTGTGTTGGTGCCAAACCTTCACATACGTCGAAATTTGTAGCCTACTTGCCGAGACTTATCACTTGTAAGAGGTAAGTAATACACCCTTGACTTCATAATCGTTACTGCATGCTTCATATTTTGCTTCTGCTTTTTCCTCGCATGCGAGTTCTTTGCAACTGTAAATGAAAGCAATATCATGCCTCTGCGTTCCGTTCGTGAAATTGAATGTTGTCTATCTGCCTGTTTCTTACTTCTTCTTGATTGATGATATTTGATTGTTTGGTCATTGCGGTATTCTCTATCGACCAATTCAATACAGACTCGAATTGTGCTTCCTAGTAAGAGTACTTGTCAATATGAAACTCAGAGTCCATTGTAGAAGTACAATTGCTTTCTTCACTGGTTATTAGTCACATTCTTGATTGGACAATAAAGTGGAAAAGAATATACATTTGCTGGACATTGAATCCATATATATTCATTCAGCTTTCTGCCTGGTATACACAATTCCGATCTTGAGCTTTAATGAATTTTGAAGCTTCTTGACAATCATCAGCTAATAGTCATGCTCATATATATGCACTGCTCGCAATGTCACAAAGTGCCCGTGAATCCCTTCGAAATCACAATCCATATCCCTCTTCAGAGCTCTTTCCGACTTTGGAAGCATGGGATACGCAAGCTACCATCGCGAGGTCACGGGGTTTTGGGCAATGCCAAGAGCTCAGCTGATGATGACGACATTAGCAGAAGAGGGTGCGGAGAGATGGCAGAGAGGTGTTCTGCTGCTTACCTCTTTAAACCGTCCCATATCAAGGAGTTCATTGTCTTGTTGTAACCTGGATGCGCTCTTGTTGGCGACCTCAGAAGTCTTTTAAGGTCTCTTTCAACCACTCCAATGATTTACTGCCCTCTGGGCTGCATGATCATCTACGGCGCCTTGCGTCGAAGTCTCAGCATTTCGTGAATTCACAGCGTAATTAAAGAACATCCGATAGGGTTTGGCTGGCGTTTCGATGCCGCATTCACCACGCTCTAAACCTTGTTAGAGCTCAGATCTCTAGATTACATATATCCCCTTCTAGACGAGATTGATCGAAATTAAGCGAGGTTTAGAAGATGACAAGAGGCATCCTGATGTGCTCACAGAGATTGAAAGATCATTTAAAGGATATTGGAGTGCAGCAGACTTCTGTTAAGTGGAAACGATGTATCCCCAAGCCCTTTTGTTCATTTTACAAAGACCGTTTTGCATTCAATGGCGTGAGATATGACGAACGAAAAGCAATGAAGGAGTTACTCACTATTCCATGGATCCTCTGGCTTTGGAGAATTGAAACTCTGCTGGCTCTATAGCAGTCACCTCCTTCAATAGCTCGAGATCTCCCTGCTACGAACACAATAAAATGTCAAAGAGTGGCAGCTTAAGAGAGCTTGGGAGATGTACAACTTACGGTATTTTATCCCTCGAGTGCTAGCTACAAGACAAAGTATACGAAGACTGTATGGAACTGCGCTGATCTTATTCATGACAGACTCGGGTGCAAGACTTCAGTGGAAGCTCATTCCCTCCCTCGATGCCTCGATGGTATGAGCGACCCGAATACTGCTTCCGCAATGATCATACAGACAGAAGCCTCTTGAACTTCTGATCCAGGATGGCATTTTCCATGATTTCTCTTGCAGACACATCCCGACTTCGACGTCTCATTCTCCGAGTAACAGGTCACTGGAGTACACCTATAGCAAGTACACTGTCCTGAACCCGACTTTGGATCCTTCAAGAAAGCCCCCTGGAAGTAGACTGCATTGGTACGTAGAGTATGTGCCATCACAAACGCTGCAATAAAAGCAAATACGTTGCGGACCTGAGATGGGCTTTAAAAAAGGGCTAGAAAATTTCATGCACTATACAAGAGCGCTAATTATATATATACGAAGGCACATTGTTTGTTTGAAATCAGAATGCAATATATTGACTGGGTTATTTGCTGACTGCAATACTGCTAGGAGCTTATTCCTAATCTAAACCTCCCGCAACATAATAACCAGCAATTGGAGCCAACCCAAGAAGCAATTGGTGTCCGTTCTCGATGGCCCTGGATTGAATGCTGGCAGCAATTTATATGGAAGAGGGTGGGGGGGCAATAAGCATTGCAAACTCCCTTTTGCTCACTCTATATCGAGAGTTCTCGCTCCCTGGTATCATTATAGCTCGTACTACGATTGATTTTCTTTACGTTAGTGCTCAATACTGGGCAGATTTTGAAGAGAAGATCATTGCGTACTGCATACTGCGTGTCCAGCCTCTGTACTAGGCAATCTTGCCCGACACACATGGGTGTGTGGCAAAGGCCTGGACTATGTCTCAGGGATTGAGACATGGAAAGCTGGACTGAGGAGCAATGAGTATTGTGTTTTCCGTACAGCAATTCTGTAAGAGGCGGTTTCGCCCAACTCTATTGGTTCATTGTAACCTGGCAACAATACTCGGGGGGTAATATTTCCAGCCATGAGACTTGGTTCTCTCCGCAGGCAGTTGGATAGGAGCATTAAGTGTTGCATATTTCTTGTTGAAGCTGTGCGGAGACCAATTTTTCTCTGTCATATGACTGTGCTGTGTCGGGGATTCAAGGTCCTGCGTTTGGTACTTTTGCTGTCTTGTTTGTTGTTTTTGAGATTGAGGAGTATCCGCCGGTATGGCTTTGAGTCTAGCCATTGCCTTCACGGCGTTTCAGTCGAGCTTGACTTGCAGTACGAGGACGGCCTCGCGGCTCGGTCGTGGCCTTTGCAGCTGATCAGCTCGAAAATTGAGGATTAATCGGAAGATCTGCTAGTGGTGGTCAAGACTGTTGATTTTTTCCCTCAGTTATCTGCAGATATGTAGCGGAGAGAAGAATATTTGTGGAGGGTCGGGTTGTATGTACATGCAGACCTCAGCGATCTGTTGTTTTGCTTGGCATGGACTTCGCTTGTTCATCACCCCTGGCTGTCCGCCCAATTTTGGCCATGACTGAGGATCTTTGAAAGCGGGGGCAAAAGTATGAGGTTGTTGAGGGGGTGCTAGAAGCTTTGATCTCATCCTCTGGCTATGTTGTTCCTCCTGTCCTCCGAATAACTTGTCCGAGTCGAGTCTGCCATATACTTCGTTGTTGTTGTTGGTTGTGTTGGTGTTGCTCGGGGTCTCGAGGTTGCATACCGCTTTAGAGGTTTGTTCAGTACTTTCTGGGGAGCTGTGAAGCTCTGTGAGTGAGCGCTTTAAGACGAAGTCTGCGTACCTATCTTTCTATATAGACCTGTACGGGATCAAAGCATGGTGTCTTGGTGGTGGAGGAACCAAACCGTAAGACTGTGGATCAAGCTGTTGATGGTTTCGTTGGAAGCAATTTTTCGGTATCACCTTCAAGACCAGTCTCCCGAAAGAATGACGACCACCAGATTGGTGAAGCTGCTCCATTGGGAGGCCGCTAGCGCTAGCCCCCTCGGCGGAACCATGGAAGTGGCTCGAGCTTGTCGTCGCTATTCGCATATAAGGACCTCTCCACGACAACCTCCCCGACTTCTACCTCATCTACTCAACCTCAACTACAACATCTTCATTCTACAACATCCTCTTCTCAACTACCATCAAGTACAGTACTACCTACTACCTCACTTCGAATCTTTCCAGACATCTGCCATCTTGTACACGCGCCGGTGGTTCTTGCTCGATCAAGACAGCTTCCTTTTTGATAGATCGACAAAGGTATGTCTCCTCAGCACTGCTCTCCTACTTTTGCACCCTCTACACCCTCTGCACTCTCTCTACACATGCCCGAAGGCTCTTGTTTACCTCTGCATGACCTTGTACGAGCTCTTCCTCGGGCATTCTATGCTCGATCTCCCCTGGCACCGGTGGCAAGTCAATAACTGCATCATCTCTCCCCCTTCCCCCCTTTGAAGTCTCGCAAGAAAGCAGCATATCTCCAGCGTGGAAAAGGAGAGACCAAGTGGGCTCCGTTTTCATCTGGAGCTCTTGCCTGCTCCATTGTCTGAACCTGAATGCTCCACTCCGATTCCCTGTCTATTCACTCCGACCTCGATTTTGGTTTCCAATTCACCGAATCATTGAGTCGAGAGGTGAATACGCAAACCCGAGCTATTCACCTCTTCTCCCAATCGGGGTCGCTAAGACTAGCGGCAGTTGTGAGGAGCTAGTGCCTCCAAACCCGACCTATTCACCTCTTCTCCCAATCGGGGTCGCTAAGACTAGCGGCAGTTGTGAGGAACTAGTGCCTCCTTGAGCTGGTATAAACATCCCTCTCTGCCTCTTCTCCCTCCATTTCTTCATCCATACACAACATCAACAACAACACCTTCCAAGTACGTGCTTCTCTACTTACCCCTTTCATCTATCTTCATCATACATCAATACACATGCATCTACACAGCACATTCCCTTTACACAATTCAGATCTTTGGAGTCTCCTCCCATGACTAGGCGAACTTGCAAGTGGTCTATCTTGCTTGAGACCTCCCTCGAAGAGCAGTGCTTCTTCTGCTTTCAGTTCGGCTTTACCTTGCACTCAAGATCGATTTCCTATCTCGCCCCAACAATCTGCTTGTTCAGGTCTTCAAGTTTCCACAATAGCCTCCTCCCAAGGCAAGGCTGAAAGGGTCGGGGTTTTCCAGAGCCCTTCTATATCCTTCATCGATCTCTTTTTCCTATCTTCCCCTTTCCTTTTTGGTCTCAAGCGCCTCATCACAGTCTTATTCATTGACACACACTTCTTTGACATAACAGAAGCTAACTCGCACAAGCAGACTGTACGTACACCTCTACCTCCTCGAACCTCCTACTTCCAATCCTCGTCCAATAGCCTTCATCTCCGAGTCCTTGCATACAAGCTTTTACCCAAGATACGCGGGTAGCGCAGCGCGATCTTCGCATACCTCAAAGCGAATGAAGCTGATCATCTCATATCTCGGGCTATCGTTGCAATTCTAGAACCCACAAATTCACCTTCCAAGTCCTCTTCAATTCACCTTTGTGGTTTTGAGCATTTTTGTAGCTCGGCTCCCGCTTTTCCTCCCCCTTTTCCTATTCGCTACTATATAGCCCCTCCACCTCCGCGTTACGTCCTCCACAAGCAATTCTTCTTTAGGTCTCGAGGTGCACTGCAAAGCTAACACATCTTTTCCAACAGCGCTCTTCCTGCCAACCAAAAAACCGCTCTCCAGCCCACCAAAACCCGTTCTCCAAGCCACCAACCAACCAACCAAAAGAAAACCAGCAAGATAAATGTAAGTTTTGCCCCCAGAATCTTTGCCTGGGTATTTCTGACATTCTTGCAAGTAAAGATGTCTCAATACATCCAAAACACGACTTTTGAGGGTGGCCGGCCACAACAGACGCAGGCACCAACAATGCATCCTGGATACGAGGGCTTCAATCGAGGTTCGGGCCACGCCATGCACCCTGAAGAATACGTCTTCAACGACAATGCCGGCCATCAGTTCCAATACGGAGCTCAAGGCCAATATCCGCAAGGTGGTCAATTCTACGACGCGGAAGCTGCACAAGCCTTGCAGCATGCTTATGGGAAGGATCAGCCTTCCAACACCTTCCATCAAACCGGCGCCAGTATTGATAATGGTCGATCTTTTCAACAAGGCGGGCAATCCAATGGCCAACATGGACACACCCAGTCTTTCAATAATGCCCAAACCCCCCGAGCCTACGCCCATCTTCGCCAGCCCAGCGTCGACATGCATTTCAGCCAGCGAAATGCTTCCTCCTCTGGTCATCGAGGCCACCCTCAAGCCACCCATCAATCACCCAACTTCGAAATCCCCTTCTCTGCAGATGGCCTGCCCCAGCAATCGCCCCAGTATGGTGACCCAGCCATGCGTGGGGATTTGCCAAGACGCCAAAGTACTCAAACTGAGTACAACCCTTTCGGTCCTGTTGTGCCTTACACTGAAGGTGAGGACTATGAGGATGAGGATGAAGTTGAAGAGTACGACGAATTCAAGCAGGAGGGCAGTGCGAACTCCTCCGAGGGAGACACCGAAGATGAAAGTGTCGCCAAACTGGCGGTCTCACGCTACGAGAGCAACGTTCAAAACGAGCAGGCTTCACACCGTCTCACTATCACCAGCGAGGCTGCATACCATGCTGCAGCAGCCCAGCGAATCAACTCTGAGATTGCGAACAGACGAAATGACAAGGACTTTGTGGATACCTGTCCCACTGATCCTACTGAGATTCAAAACTTAGTAGGACTCATCTATGAAGCCCTCAAGTTTACCAAAGACGGTATCATCAAGGACAAGCCGAACAAAAACGGACGACCAGCCCAGGCTGTGAATCGAATGGCTGGAGGCTTCTATAAAACAGAGGCACTGGAAATGGCAGCATGGGGCATCTTTGTAAGTCACAGTCTTTCCTCTTTCAATTTCCCGTTGCTGATATCTGGAACAGGAGGACTGCAGAGTTGCCTCTTACGGCGTGTCCCTTGTAGAGACACATCACAAGGGCAAATTCGAGTCGTTCGATGTCCACCCAACTTTTTATGACCGCCTCAACGCGGTCATCGACACAATTGGTGTAGGTCTTCCCCTTGATTTTCCAGTGTTGATTACTGATTTTCATAGTGCTCAAAAGCCGCGTGTAAGCAAGTGCTGGATGCACCATTCCGCAACCGTCTTGTGAATGCCCCGATTTCCGAACTTCGGGTAAGCATATTTTCCCTCACTTCGAGAACCATGTCTGACCTTGAATAGATGAAAGTCGGAAACTCGCGCATTAACGGAAGGCGGGACAAGCAGAACCTCGCTGGTCGTGTAGCAGCGAAGGCTGGGCTCGACCAAGACCGTCTGGATGCAATGGCCAGAGAGAAGGCCGCGGAGGATGCAAGAATCAAGCGAGAGATAGAGGCTGCTGGAGGTGCCGATGAGAACTTTCCTCAGTCGGCCAAAAAGTCGGCCAAGAAGTCCGCCAAAAAGGAGCCAAATTCGTCGATGCCGCCGCCGAAGACTCCGACAAGAAAGAGAACCAACGTCGATGGTGCAACACCTACGAGCAAGCGTAGGAAAACTCCAGCCAGCACCCCGACCAAGATAAAGGAGGAGTATGTGACTCCAACAAGCACTCCAACACGCGGCTCTGCACGTCGCCTCGTGGTCCGCCGCCCATCGAACTACCAGCCGGTTCGCATGGGCAATAACTTTGGCACTCCGATCGACCCTGCTCTCAGCATGGGCAACTCCTTCCTCCCCCCTGCCCCGGAAATCACCGACGGCAATCAGCACTACAAAGAGCTGATTTGCGACACGCTTGGTGTTGTTCGGACCTACGGCGATTCTCTCGAGTTAGGTGACCTCCGATTGTACGCATATGCGTATAACGAAGACAAGATTGGGAACCAATGGCACACTCACGAATTGAGCAGTGATGAATATGGTCATGGTCACCTAGTGATCGCGAGATCTGGGGGGGGCCAGATCAGCATGCACTTGACGAGATTTCCGGCGCTGCAGAAGCTAGAGCCCTTGGCCAGAGCTCGAGGTGACCTTGCAAACATGGAAACGGCAAGTCCCCGTGCTCGTGCCTTTTATGGGCACCAACTTCCACACGAAACCCGCCAGGCGATGGGCCTGGAGCCGAACCAATTCGGAATCTGGGGTGGTTAGATGATTGCTGGGAATTTGGAGGCATGGCATGACTTGGAGTTTGGTTGGCATTTGGGCAAAGCGGGCGTTTTTCATAGGATGGGTTGGTTTCACGGCGGTCTGGTCCTGCCTGGTCCCTTTTTTATTTTCGAGAAGCGTGCGAGTGCGATGATACCCCCTTTAGATTTTGGCCTCCTCTATTTTCTCTTGGAGCATACATTGCGAATGGATTTTGGCGGGGCACAGAGAGTGCCACGATAGATAGTCGAATGAGAAAGAAAGCCATATTTCCTTGATTTTTGAGAATCGGTCTGTGATCTGCTCGTGAGCGAGTGGCCTTGGTGAGAATGTGCCGCAGTCTCTGTAAAGCTAACCTCTCTGTAGAGCCAACATCATCGGAAACTTTGCTGTTATATATTTTGGCAGCTGCATCCATCGCATCGACATAATCTTAATACCCACTTCCCCTCAACCCCCGAGCAGAAGAGAGAGAGGGGGGGGAGCCGATTATTACTCGTATCTTCTCTCTATCTACAACATTTTCATTCGGTTCCGAACATATATAACCCCTCCCTCCCTTCATCTTCTCCCTCTCCGAAAACTAATCTAAAACAATCCAGTCCCGTCCACATCCAATCCACCTCCTCTATACTCTCCGTCTGTCCTGGTCCGGGAAACGATACCCTCCCTCTGGAGAACACTTGACACAGTCTTCAAGTGACAGATAGACAGACATACAAACAGACACCTCTCTTCTAGACCGATCTCCCACGCGACAAAGATTCTCGTGACACCTACAAACAGACAGACAGACAAGCAGACAGTTAGATAGATAGACAGCAAACACCACCACCAGACATGGAAGTCCGAAATCCAAAATCTCGCACGTAGTCCCCGACCGAATTCACCAGCGTCCGCCAGTCGGGCTCGCCCAATTTGCTTCCATCCGCGCGAAAGCCCGCGCGGCGAGGTGGCGGACTCAAACAGCGATGCTTCTCGGTTTCCTCCTCCTCCTCCTCCTCCTCCTCCCTCTTCCTCTCCGTGCGCGATGTGTGCGGGTGTGTGTGTAGGTCGCAGATAACCCGTTCAAGGAGTCCGAAGAGGAGAAAAGAGGAGGAGAAGGGAGAGGGACTGTATCTAGCAAGATCTTTTTTTCTCTGGCATTTTAAGGAGAAGATAGATTAAGCTTACTTGATAGCTAGCCGGCGGAAGGTCACTTTCAGATAGAGTAGAATGGAAAAGAAAAGATTACCTCTCCCCACACCTTCCCTCCCTCCCCCCTCCCCCCCCCCGGCCAAAAAAGGATCAAAAAACAGAAAATTCCAGCAAAACTCAACTGGAAACTCATCATTTCATGGGGTATGAATGGTATGAGGTTCCAAGTCTACAAACCTAATCGAATAGGTTTCTCCGTTCACCAACAACCTGTGTACTTGGAAGCGGCCAGCAGGCTTTGTAGCCACTAAACCACCATGCCATTCCTCGAGGTTGATGATGGAGGAGGAGGTGGGAGTTGGCTTCTATAGAGTGGATATAATTTTTTTTGTTTGCTTCTCTGTGTGTGTGGGGCGGGAGAAGCGAGAAGAAGGGAGAAGGGAGAAGCGAAGGGCTGAGTGACTCAGGTACGGGAATGGGATTTTCGGTATTGATGATCTCGAAACTTAGACTAGATAGAGGTATACTTATATACTCTCTGTAAGAGCCGCAGCAGGCGATGAGGAATAACATGAGATGTGGAGGAGGGTAAAGGTTTGGATTAATGATTACGAGAGCTGATCGTATGGGGGACATGCTACGTATATATACATACATATATATTTTAATTCAGAGCTGGATGAGTGTAAGCCCTCAGGGGCCCCGGGTTGGAACTCTTACTAAATTACCTGCTGTTTTCGGGCGAGAGATGGTATATCAGGGCTCTGGTATCAATCAACCACATCCTGGAAAGCCCACAGAGGTACGTACGTCTATTTTAACGTCTGTTATAACCACCCTCTTCTCGATCCATTCAGCCAGCAGCTTTCTTCCATGGCCTTTACAGAAATGGCTGGCGGAGTGCATGCAGTACGGTAAATTGACGGTATAGTAATCAGCTATTACAAATAATAAGCTAGCAGCTTGCACCCAGACTTCACTCACTGCTGGGTAGGTAGGTAGCAGGTAGGTAGGATATAGAATGACGAAGAGCGGGCAGTGGTCTTGGCCGATGGCTTGACAGACAAGCTTCTTGACGGCTAAGAAACGGGTTGTGTTTTGTTTGTTTGGCTGGCTGGCTTGACGAGGCTGGCTACGGCAAGTTCGCTTCTGTTTATAGAATTTTTTCGGAAGCCGGGACGAATGCCACAACATTGTAATGAGGTAGGTATTTTTGCCTACAAGTTTAAATCGTCGAGCCCTCTGAAGATTTCTGGAATACTTAGGTGTGATGGGGCACAATAGTTATCGTAGTCGAATCGATTGTGCAAATCGGAGGGGTTGGGGGCTTTGTTTACTTGTTGACTTTCGGTGGGGCTCCTCGCTTACGAGCTGCAACCCCCTATTCCCATTCAGCCTCGCTGCAAAGACCCCTGCTAGCTCAGTCTTTACCTACGCCATCAGACATTTATTTATCCACCCAGAACCGATTTGAAGCTGCGCAAACCACCAACCTCAACAACAACAACCAACAACCTCATCTCATCAACCTCCATCAGTAGCCAAGATGCCGAACCCCGCATCCGGCGCAGCGACGCCCAACCCGCGCTTCACATCGCAAACCAAGACGGCCGAAGACCTCCTCAGCACGCAGACCGTCGGCCTGGTGAACCTCTCCGACTACCGCAAGCGGCGCGCCGAAGCCCTCGAGCAGAAGGAGCGGGACGTGCAAGATGCGATCTTGGGGGCCGTGAGCGCGCGCGCAACGCCCACCAGCGACGGGTGAGTCACCACCCACCCTCCCCTTGGAGATGAGGCGCGGACGACGAGGGGATAGGACTGATGGGCATAGTACAGCGCATCCACGCCCACCGAGCCACCCCTGAAGAAGAAGAAGAAGCAGGAGAAGAAAGCTAGAGGCGGCGCACCGAAATTATCTTTTGGGGATGAGGAGGACGAGGAGCAGGAGGGGGAGGAGGGTGGTGACGCCACTGCGACTGCGACTGCGACTGCGGCATCGACATCTGCGTCTCCGCGATCGGGGACGCCGAGCGAAGGATCGGTGAAGGAGAAGGAGACGAAGAAGAAGAAGAAGATGGGGGCTAATGCGAAGGTGGGTGTCGTGGCCAAGGCGTTGACGAAGGGTGCGCTGCTGCGAGAGGCGCAGACGAGGGAGAGCTTGAGGAAGGAGTTTATGGTGCTGCAGGAGGCGGTCAAGATGACGGAGATTGCGATCCCGTTTGTCTTTTACGACGGCACGAATATTCCGGGCGGGGTATGCAGGATCAAGAAAGGGGATTTCATCTGGGTGTTCTTGGATCGCAGTCGCAAAGTGGGTGCAGAGTTGGGGGTGGGTGAGAAGGTCAACAGCAGTAGGGAGTGGGCAAAGATTGGAGTGGACGATCTGATGCTGGTGAGAGGGAGCTTGATTATTCCCCATGTGAGTACTGAATCTGGAGGCAACAGATGGACACAAGCTGATATTGTATGCAGCACTACGATTTCTACTACTTCATTATCAACAAGAACAAAGGTCCCAACGGCTCTCTCCTCTTCGACTATTCCCCCGATCCTCCAACGACCGGAATAGCGTCTTCCGAACCCCAAGACCTCGACAATTACAACCCCCTTTCCAACCCGTCAACAAAACCCAAGGCTTCTCCCAACGAGCCTGTCAACAACTCAGACCTCGAAGGCCACAAAGACGATCCAACCATAACCAAAGTCGTCGATCGCCGGTGGTATGAACGGAACAAGCACATCTATCCCGCCAGCGTGTGGCAGCAATTCGACCCGGAGAAGGACTACCAGAAAGAGATCAAGCGAGACCGTGGTGGTAATGCGTTCTTCTTCTCTTGATTTTCTCTTGGTTTGCCTGCCCAGCCAGATAGCCGTCCCGCATTGCATATTGTCATCTTTGCGTGTATGCCGCTTTTGACAACATGTCAGTCATCCTTTGCGGAGGAAAAAAAAAGAAAAAAAAAGGGTGGCTCTAGGAAGTCTCAGCTAGATACCCGGGCACCAAGATTTTGGTCACAAACTTACCTGTCGAAGATTCTTGCGTGGGTGTATCCCTAATTTCTGGCACCAATCCTCCCAAATCCAAGTCTCTAGAAAGGAATAGCTAGATTCCCAATGCATAGGTTCCAGCGCATCCATACGCTTTTTTTTTTCTTTTTTTTTTTTCTTTTCAAATTTGATTTGCGCTGCGGTGCCAGGCGTACCGTGAACCAAGCGCATACCCAAGAAGCAAAAACGTGACTGAAGTCTCACGGTGCGGTCCGTCCACACAGTTTGAGTGAGCTGCGATAGTTTCTTCCCCATTTTCTCAATCGGGTAGAGCGAGCCAACCAAGTCACCCATAAACAGTCCACAACGCAACGCCCAGCCCCGTCAGCAAAACCCAGCCGGGCCAAAACAGCACCAGGAAGACGCCCTGGCCGCCGCCGAGCAGGAAGACCATGACCTCGAAGAAGACCCTCCGCCGGAGGCTCTCCGTCGCCGTCCAGGCCGTGGCGAGGGCGACGCGCGCGGTACACAGACCCAGCGCGGCGGCGTAGAGGGCGGCGTGGAGGGAGCTGCGGAGGAGAGCGAGGGAGAGCAGGTAGGCTCTCAGGAGGAGGGAGAGGGTCGTGCTGCTGAGGAGGCGGTGGGCTGTCCAGGCGAGGTGTGGGGAGGAGTGGTTCCGTGCTGGGGAGCGGACGGAGGTGGATGAGTGGGAGGAGGAGGAGGAGGAAGAGGCCATGTTGGATGCTGGCGTCGTCGTCGGGGCGATGGTGAGGATGGACATGAGTTTTAATAATAATTTATATATGTAAATATATATAAATATATATATACAAATATAAATATATATATATATATATAAATGTTTCTTTTTTTGGCCGAGGCGGTGAATCGTGGTGTGCGGGTGTTCTCTTCTGGGTATTTGCAATTTGCGATCGGGTGTCTATTTCTTTAATCTCGTCTTCTCTCTCTCTTTCTCTATCTCGAGTGTCGAATGTGGTTGTTTGGCTGGGTCTGTGGTGATGCCTGTGTGGAAGTTTCTGGATCTCGTCTGGTAGCCGAGGCGCGGGGTGGCGGTGGTATTTGCGTTGGGCGCGTAGGATTTCGGATATCCATATATGTAAGTACGACTAAAATATGTAAGGAGACAGGAGATAGTGCACGAATGGAATGTACAACGTATGTCCTCTGAAGTGGTTGATAGATAAGTGAATTGGTGAACTGATGTGAAAATAGTGTACGGAGGGGAAAAAGTAGCGGTTGTTGTTTATAGTTGGATAACATGGGTGAGTGATTACTATACGGAAGGATTTGGTGGGGGTCATCTGATCCGCCGCTTGGCATCTCGGCCCCATCCGGATGGTGTCTGTCTTGTCCAATCAAAAGAGCGGAGAGGATGTAGTTTGTTGCCATACAGTAAAGGGAGTTCCCGCTGCCAGTGACCCACCTGTGGTTGCTTCTGCGGTAGGTCCGGGATGCAGCGTGGGGGCCGATGTACTTACAGTAAAGGCAGGGATTGGGCATTCGGGATTGGGGAATGGCTGTCGCTTAAGTAGTATGGCGGGGTCGGTTTGTTGTTCACAATCACAATGAGGGGCAGATGGAGGGCATGGGAGAATCCTGGTGGGTATTTTAGTAATTGTATGTTGACATCGCTACGTGTGTGTTGGCATCGCTACGTGTGTTGACATCGCTACGTGTGTTGACATCGTTACGTGTCAGAGACCAGAACGGGTGATTGGATAGGAATCCGGGAGACGGGAGACGCTGGACCATCTTCAGAGCACCACCACATTGACGACTTATTGCATTGCTTGAGTTTAGAGAACCAGGGTATTGTTCCTCCGAAGACAGGGCGCTATTTGCCTCCTTGGTTGAAGTTCATGCTGTACCCGCCTGAAGCTGGATCTTTCTGCATCTGAAAGTTATCAGTCGACAAGCCAAAAGGCTTCAGGATACCATTCCCAAGCTATTCAAGTCGAGTCAGTGTTGGTCCAAAGTCCCAATGTCCCGATGTATTTATCTATGAGAGCACCTACCTCCTTCAACTTGCCCATCATCTCCCCCATCTCCTTTTCCTGCGCAGCTTTCGTCCTCGGCGGAAGCTGCACCAACATCCTCTGTACCAGCTTCCTGTCCGCCGCCGTCAGGTTGGTCATTTTCTCTAGCGTCTGGTAATCTGTGGCACCCGTTAGCCAGACAGACCTCTGCCATAACATCCAACCATAAAAAAACTCACCCTCCTCGGCCCCTTGCAAACTCGACCACCCGCCCAGCTCACTCCTAGCCCTTGCCCTCCTCATCAATGCCTTCCCCCTAATCCTTTCAATATCCGCCTGTCTCTTCCCCTTAGCAGACGTATCCTCCGCCTTCATAGCACCTTCACTAATAATCTCCTCATCAGCCTCCTCTGCCTCGGCCTCCACCTCCTCTTTGCCGTCGCTACCCTCCGCCCTCCCCCTTCCTTGAAGCCTATCGAGTCCATCCAGCGCCGCAGAAGCAGCCTTGACAGCCTCCTTCCAATCCTCCAGCTTCAAGTGACACGCCGCCACATTACTCTTCAGTACCGCAATCTCGTAGTCCAGGTAATTCGGGCATGTCGCGAGCGCTTTATCGTACGTCGTGATCGCCTCCTTCCAATCCGACTTGGCAAACAGCTCGTTGGCTTCCTTCTTCACGGTATTCGATTCCTCGACAAGAGCCTGGTCCGGGTTAGCAGCTGTCCCAGATCCACTCACCACCAATACAACAGTACGTACAGCCTCTTCCTCGGCAGAGAACCGGATCACCTCCTCGGGCTCCTCCGCCTTCACATCTGCCTTGTCCCGACCTTTGCGCTGGAACCGCTCTGTTCTGGACGACATGTTGAGCTTGCAAACGATGTTGCGTCTGGCTGGGTCGAGGGTGCAAATACGTAGATGTTGCGGAATTACTTCCGTTTGAGCTTCTTTGACCTCCGACCCTGAGCTTCATTCAGGTCACCGTAGTGGGGTGGGAGTCGAGTTTCGAGATCTATCTACCCCTCCCCCACACTTCACTTACTCACCTACCTCTTGTTGATACCTACGTTGCAAACGTCAACGACTCCAGATATGGCAAAGCCGAAGACTGAGTGTGGCCTTCCCCATTCCCCCTATCCGAGATGCCTCCCCAGAGCAGTGCTAACACCAGTATACAGCTTCCCACCCGTAAGGGCCTGTCTCTTCGACATGGACGGCCTCCTCATCGACTCGGAGGACAAATACACAATCAGTACCAATACCATCCTGAACAAATACGGAAGACCCAACATCCCATGGTCCTTGTACATAACCCTCGCCTCCCCTTCCTTCCATTTCCCCTCCTAACCGCCCCCCCTTCCAGGAAAGCCAAACTCCAAGGCCGGCCCGGCCCAGCCGCCGGCGACGTCCTACACGAATGGGCCCAGCTCCCCATCCCGCGCGCCCAGTACGCCTCGGAAGTGCACGCCCTCCAGCAAAGCCTCTTCCCAACCTGCGCCCCCCTACCCGGCGTCCCGGTCCTCCTCCGAAACCTGCACACGGCCACGACGACCACCCCCCCGCGGCGGCAGCTGCACCTAGCGCTAGCGACGAGCAGCCACCAGCACACGTTCGCGCTCAAGACGCGCCACCTCGAGCAGGACCTCATGCACGTCTTCCCAGCCGAGCGGCGCGTCCTAGGCGACGACGCGCGCATCGCTCCCGGCCGGGGGAAGCCGAGTCCGGACATCTACCTCCTGGCCCTGGCGGACGTCAACGCCACGCGGCCGGCCGGCGAGGAGGAGATCCGGCCCGAGGAGTGTCTCGTGTTTGAGGACTCGGTGCCGGGCGTGGAGGCCGGCAGGAGGGCCGGCATGCGCGTGGTGTGGTGTCCGCATCCGGAGCTGTACCGCGAGTTCCAGGGGAGGGAGGGGGAGGTGCTGGCGGGTCAGACGGGCCAGGCGGGGGAGGTGGATATGCATCTTGTGGGCGAGGTGGGAGATGGCTGGGCTGACTATTTGCCTAGTTTGGAGGCCTTTCCGTATGAGAGGTATGGGATTGTGGTGAAGTGAGCTGATGGGTACTCTGAAGCACCACATATTTTTTTTTACGTATATACCACTGCCCTCCCAGCCTTCCAGCGGCCGAAGACGGACACGATAAAGATAAGCGAGGATCGAATAAACAATAAGCAATAGAAAATCAAGGTAGGACTGCTCCAAATGTCTCCCAAAGCCCGTGTACATTGTTTTCCCCCCTGGTATCTCTAAAAACCCCCCCATCCCCCCGGCCCCTCCCCTTCATAGATTCTAAGCCCCCAGTCTAGTCCAATTCATATTGCCAATGCCCATCCAACAAATTAAAGAATATTAGATTACTACAGATGCGCCCTCGCATGCATCGCCTGCCTCCTCTTCTTCTGCTGCTTCCTCCCCAAGTCCGTCCGATCCTCCTCGCTCAGCATCTCCCCAGCCGCCTCATCAAAGAGTTTTTGCGCAATTCTCTCCGTCAAGCCCAGCACGCGCGTCGAGACCGTGGCGCCATCCCGTCGATTCTTGCCCTCCCGCCTCGACTGTGCGATCCTCTCGATGAAATCCCACAGCCGGCCCTGGGCGACGATGTGGCCGGTGTCCGAGTTGCGGTCCGGGGTCCAGTCGGGCGCGAGCTTGGAGCGAGGCAGGATCTTGGGGTCGCGGCTCTTGGCCACGATGACGATGCCCTCTTCCTCCAGGCGGACCCAGGCGTTCTTGAGCGTTTCCTTGTTGACGGCTTCGAAGTAGGAGAGGTCGCCTTGGTGGTACAGGGTTTTGCCAAGCTAAACAACACGTACGTGTATGTTAGTGGGGGAATCTACATGACATGGCATGGCATGATGATGAGGAAGACTTACAAGCTGTGCACTATCCTGGCACTTCTTGACATCTAGCCATCCGTCTCCTTTGTAATTTAGCGGCGGAGTGTATCCCATTAATGCTACAGCACCGAGCCAAAACGCTTCAACGAATGGCCAGATCAAGAAGCAGTAGAAATCAAAGTTCTCGCGGCCTGCAGCACGCTCTTCCTCTGCTAGACCGACAGCAATGATGTTGCCCCTGTCATCCCAGTCCAGGGCAACAACTTTGTCACTCTCCAGCCCCTTGAGAGTCTTGTCTAGATTCACTTCAAGCCCTTCGGTAGGGTAGATAAATTCTGCCCTGAAAAGTTGCGATAGGAACAAGACTTGTTCTCGCAGGGCCTCATGTGAGATTTTCTGATTGTCAGGACCACCTCCGCGCTTGACACGAGTATACATGGCGGCGCTGACCAAAGCTTCCGTGATGAAGAGATGAATGGTCATATTTCGGTAGAAAGACAGCTGGAATCGATCGACAGCGTAATATGTTGGCTCAGGCAAGCCCTCTACGCGACCCACAAGATCTTTGCCCAAGACACCCAGAGCACGGTCAATGACTGCGGACGTTGGTGTCTTGCCGAAATGAGCGACTCGTCCACCTTTGGACCGTACTCGATCGCTGAGCCACTCAACTCTCCTGACCAGCTCAGACTGCCCAACGCCTCTCCCTCTCAAGGTCAAGAGCACAGTGCCTATCAGGGCAGTCGGCATGACCACAGATACGGCATTGATATCCGAAAGAACTTTGTAGCCCAGCGTTCGAAGCAATTTCTGTTTCGTAGCGGGATCAATAGTGCTCTTCATATCGATTCCTTTAGGAATAGCCGTAGTCCGAGACTGTTGATTCTGGATGAATTCTCGTAGACTCCATGGCTCGTGGAATCTAATATCAACCCGTCCAAGTTGCAAAGATAACACCGAAGATGCTGACAGAAAGTCTGCCAGATTCTCCTTCTTCTTCGGCATTCCCAGCAGTTCTGTGACATATCCTTCCGTCTCAATAACCTTGTCGTACTGCGTACTTACTGGGCAGATAATTGTGTCTTCTACTCGACCGGAAAGGATACTGTCTAAAATGAAGCTCAGAATTCCGAATTTCGGAGGTAACAGTTTGCCGGTTCTCGATCTTCCACCTTCGATGAAACATTCGAAGTTGAAGCCTCCTTGGAGGAGAGTGTCAATGTATGACTGGACCAAAGTTGTATAGAGAATGTCGTCGCCAAAGCTCCGTCTGATCCACATTGCTCCTGTAAACCTTCAGTATTAGAGCCCAAAGATTTGCTTCCAGTACACACCAGCATGCTGCAGAAAGCTCCCTACGACGGGGAAGTTCAAGTTGTCACCGGCCACAACTGTGGGAAGGCCCAGACCGAGACGATAGCAAATTAAATGCATCGAGACATAGTCAACATGCGAACGGTGGCAAGGTAGAAAAATAATGCTCTGCTTATTCTTCTCCGCCTTTTCCGCTACCGTCCGCAGTCGAATAACCTCCTCACTTGAGACATGTATACCTGGTTATATAAGCATGGCTCAATCAGCACTGTCGCAATACTCACCCTGGTGATATGCCCTCGTCAGAAGCTGGGTGCACATATAGTATGCCGACCTGATGAATGGCTTGCTCTCCATCTTACAGATCATATCTCCAGTCCATTTCTCACTTAGGTCTTGCAAACTTTGCACAATGACCAATTTCCTCTGCGTCCTTTTGCCTGCGTACAGCGGATCATCCTTATTCAACAATCCTTCCTTCTCCTCAACCGCGATTCTCTTCTCCGCCAACTCCATTATGCGCTTTTGCAAGATAGGGGTGGAGAGGACAGCTTGTGTCATGGCTTCCGAGAACCCAGAATAGAAGATTGGCTGTCCGATGAAGTTGTTGTAGGCACGCCACCCAGTCCCGGAAACGTGAAGGGAGACTTCTCTTAGGAATCTAAAAGCTGTCAATACCATTCTGAACGGAACGAAAGCGTACGTACTCTAGAGGACTCGATCTAAACCTCGCCATGTTTTCCACCAGGTTCCGGTCTCCATCTTTCTGCGAGTCGGGGGGCTCGATATAGCCACTCGGGTGCAGCGTAACTTGGTCCCCCAGAATATCCAAGTCTGGTGCCGAGGCTCTTGAGCCAGAGGCGTTCTGCGAGTCTACCATTGTTTCTATTTCCCGTTCCGAGTTGAATATACTTGCAGGGTCAGAGGTCAGTTCTTCGAGCGAGTGGTTTGAGTAGTAATCTCATGGTATACGTTGGTGGGGCACGCATCAAGTCTTGGGCTGTGACAGTTGGGAGCGCAGCCTCGGTGGAAGTCTGAAAATCTGGGGTTAGCCGGAGCTCAGCCGACTTTAGCGTGGAGTCAACAACACCGTAGGTAAGCTTTTGTGAAAAGCTCCCTGCAGCTTCCTGTCGCACTCCCCAGCACAACCATCTCAATCCGCACCCGGATTCGCAACACTCTCCGGAGAGGCAGTGGCGACAGCCTCGCCATGTCAGACAAACAGAACATTGCGCGCGATCTCCTGAAACGAGCTCACTCCCCCGATACCACAAGCAGAATCTTCACCGAGAAAGTAAAGACGCGCCCTCTGCACCTCAAACCCACCGAATCCTTCACGACCACAGGGCAGCAAGCCCGCCGACTGGCCCGCCAGCAGAAGCTCTCACGGAGGAAGAAGTTGAAGCCGGCCCCCCTATCTGCGCGCCAAAAACGAAGTCTATGTCTCTACGATGTCCCCAAGTTGCAGCAGAAATACGCCATCTACGAGCCGCTGCATAAGATGTGGATAGGCTATATCCAGGAACTCCTGTGGGAGGACGGTATCATGCGGGAGGTTACGCCTGCAGCAGCTGCAAAGCTGTCTAGTGCCGATTTCCATGGGGCTGAGGTGGAGGTTGTGAGGAGCAGGTGTGTGGGGAGGGTAGGCACGAAGGGGATAGTGATCAGGGACTCGAGGGGCACTTTTGAGGTGGTTACGAAGAGGGACGTGGTGAAGATGTTGCCAAAGGAGCATACGATATTCAGGTTCTCGGTGCCGAGGCCGGCGAGGAACAGAGATGTCGACGAGAAGTCTGGCGCGGGAGATGAGGAACAGGCTGGAGGCGAGGAGGAGGATCCAGATAGAGATCTGGTCTTTGAATTGCATGGAGAGGAATTTCAATTCCGGGCCGCGGTTCGGGCGAGTAAGAAGTTCAAGTTGCATTTCCGGAAGGATCTTTGAAGGGTATCTACCTGGGGCTACAGCTCGAGCGAACACCCAAAAAGAGTATACGAAACTCCAGTGTCCAGGAAGTGGTCAGAAGGAGCTACAAGATATGCTCTGACCCGACAGTACACAGCTTTGCTGTATACTCAGGTGGAAGCTGGGAAGCTTGGGACTCCTAGGCTGAGAGAAGGACGGACGAAACATCTCAGAAGCTACACCTGTGTCAACGCAGCACTTCACAGCCACCAAGACCAGACATCGGAACTATGGATACCGTGCGCGCAAATGCCAAGAAAAGACGACGCAGAAGCAGCAGCAGCAGCAGCAGCAGCAGGCCAGCAAGAGGTCTACCGGGTCAGCCGCAGATAACTCGCTTGCACCTGATGGTAAACAAAATGCAAAAAACCATTCCACCCACACCGGGTCAGCCGCAGATAACTCGCTTGCACCTGATGGTAAACAAAATGCAAAAAACCATTCCACCTACACAGCCAGGCGTTTTCTCTCTCTCCGAGAAGCCAGACATCGTACCGTTCACCCGCTTCTCGTCTTAATTTTTTTTTTTTGTAAAAAAAAAAAACCCCCCCCGCCAGTGCCAACTTTAAAGATAACCCCTTCAACTCAGGGCCCGCTAAACCCCCCACCTCCGCCCTCCCCCCCCCCCACGACCTTTCTCCCACCGAGCAAGCACATCTATCGCCCTTCACGAGATGGCAAAGATACCACGGTACAGGCCTAAGTATTACCCCTCGAGGGTGCCTTAAAAGTTTAGTTTCCACTTTAAACCCCCTGTTTTCCCTACCCTCGAGGGGTAATACTTACGCCTGCGACGTAGTACAACGACACATGACATATATGAGGCAGCAAATTTCAAAGAGCATACTTACTCACCACAGGTACCCGATTGCTATCTTCTTTGCAGTATGCCACGCACAGAACGGTATCATTCATTCACTTTCCAAGCCCTAGCTCCTCCCTTCTCCCAAAAGCCCAGCTAGTCATATCTACCTTTCTGGGCAAAATTTTCCGCACCAGATCTAGCCATATGCCCCCCTTAACGCCGGTTCAGTAGCCCGCCACCCCGCCCCAACCAACTGCGGATATAAAGTCCAAGACAAAAAAACCCCTTATGCTTCGGCGTTCCTCTCCAAGAAATTATCTTGTTCTAATGTGAACGCCATAACGCCATGCTCAGCAAATGCCCCATTTTTTGTCTCCTAATCCAAAATAAATGCAATGCTCGCCATGTGCACAGATCCAGAAAGTGCAAGCGACGCAACGCTCAACACGAAAGTCATCGTTCATCCTTTGATAGTGTCGTTGTCCGGTCTCCCCGACCCGCCTTCTCTAGCTCGAGTCCCGAAAATGCGGGTTAATTTCAGGTAAAATTTTAGAACCCAAGCTGATATCTATTTTACTTGAATATATGGGGTCGGCGAGTTGAAGCCCCATCATTTCGTGCCTGTCTAGTATGAACTTCAACTTATGTTCATAGAATCACGCAAGCTTCGCCTGAAAAGCCAAGTGTGTATATTGTAGATTCTGAAACTCGAGCTCTCAAGCATAGGGTGGAGGATAGTGGTTGTTGTTGTGTTGCGGAGGTGGTGGGCCGAAGTGGTTCTGAGAATGGTGCACGATCTGGTTAGGCGGTTGGTAATACTGCTGATAGGGGTGATTCGGCAGCGAGAAATCAGCCTTGGCAAGCAGCGGGTTCAAGATTCCACTTGGCAGCGCAGGTCGTGATGGAGGTGGCGCCGGGGGTCTGCTCGTGGCCGGTGCTTGTGTGTTATGGAAGAACTGGCCGAGGGAGTTGCTGCTCTGTGGAGCCATTGGTGATTGCTGTAGATCGTCGCTCGGGAACCCCCATTTCTTTTTCAAATCGGTGCTGATGAATCCGACTTTCCAGCCGGTTTCCTTGCGGATCTTCTCGAAGATCTCAAGGACCTCCTCCTGCTCGCGGCGGTGGACGAGACACTCGGCCGCGATCGCGAGAGACCTAAGTGCAACACTGGCAACGCCCCTATCCTTCACGTGCGCAACGATCCCACAGATCAGATGAGCATGATGCATCTGCATGTGGTTCATCTCTTCCGTGTCCGTGGACATCAGCGGGTTAATCTGTGCCAACAGGCACATGGCAGTGTGGTAGAACAAGCGACCCACGATTGTAGCACGTTTGATCAGCCTGAGTATTGTCAGCTTGCTTCTACAGAAAAGCAAAAAAGACCATTGTTGTTGGTACTTACCAGACTTCCGGAAAGGCGGATTTCGAGGTGGTCTGTGGAGGATGTAAGAATCCCATCGGCTGCATCGTTCTCGGCACATTGGCATTCCAGCGGTCGCACAGGTCCTTCCATCTTTTCCACTCTGAAAACCTGGTCTGGAGTCTGACTTGCTCATCATGCGGTGATGCCTCCTGGAATCGTGGTACAGAAGCGCGGAAATTCGCTATCTTTCCAACGATGTAGAGCATTCGGTGTACCCAGATCTCCTCCTTTCCGGATTCTGTCTCTGCTTGAAGGTTCATGTCTAAGCCCCATTGATCTGGCTCCCACGCCACTTGCCAGTTGAAATGAAGACAGCTCAGAAGTTCCATGCCCACATTCAACCAGAAACATGCTGCACCAATTCCTGTGCTTCTCGCATTCCATCCACACTCCTTGATCAAAGCTCGCGCACCAGCAATGTGATTCATGCGCTGCATTGCTCGCTCTGACATGATCTCGTAGACGTTCAAGATGACTGCCGTTGTCGCGCAGCAGACGGTATCTCGGTCCGGGTTTTGCAAAGACTTTAGGAGCTGGGTGGTTGCCGTATCGTAGTAATAGAGCGCCTTATCTTCGTGGTACATCGGGTTAACCAAGGTCAAGTGACGAGCACCACATGCAAGAAAAGCGTTGAGCAACATGGATTCTGAGAGAGCATGGAAAGGAAGGATTCTCGAGAAGTGCTTCTGGTCATCCATGCTGTCCATCCATAGACCGACCTCCTCAACAAAAACTTGCATGAAGAGAACCTCCTCTGGCGAACTGAGATATCTGCGGGTTTCATTAGGGATTGGTGGCTCGGGATTACTGTAACTAGATGGTGGCGGCGCCAGAAATGACTCGCTGCCAGCGACGGAACGGTGGTGGCTGGGTGGTCTCGAATGGGTTGAGTGGGTTGAGTGGGTTGAATGGGCTGAATGGGTTGAATGGGTTGAATGTGTTGAGTGCGTTGAATGGGTTGAGTGGGTCGAATGGGAGGCACTTGGTCCATTTTCTGAATATGGTCCTGTGGATTGTATAGGAGGCAAAGAGTTGTTGTTAGCCATAGCTCGAACTGGGTACTGTGATGGCTCTTGAGGGGGTGTAATCGTCCGGTCGAGGTGGGCGTATCGGCGCAGGCCTCCTTGGTACTCGGACGCGATTTCTCTGCTCTCATCTTGGAATTTGACTAAATTCAATCAGCAATTGAAGGTCGACTGGCGTGACAAATATGACCTTTCCAATCCGCTGTCGGTGGTATTATCGGCGGGTCTTGAACCTGGGTATCTATAAAATTGAGGCGTACCCCCCTTTTACATGTCCGACTCGATTTGCGACAGTTCGCACAGCCTTTATTTTTCGCAGAGTAACCTATTGACAGGATTAGCGGGCGTACGAGCATCTGCGGGCATGTACCGACCTTCATCGCACTTCAAATGGCGCTCTCTGCAGGTGAGACATCCCGTCCTGACTCTCTTCGGCTTGTTGGCAGCCGGCTGGATAGGCCCTCCATCCTCCGTGAGCTCTGACGACTTGAGAGCCGTCATCGAGTATGTTCTCTGTGTATGCTGCGTGTTTTGTTGTGGATACAGAGGTGAAGTTTGCGAGGTATATCTGTCGGAAGAGAGCGGTAGAGAGAGTTGCCGGTCCACGCTCCGCGTGAGTTCTGAAGCAGTAGCAGCCAAGTAAAAGGGTAAATGTTGTTGTTGATGTTGGAAAGGGTAGCCGATTCCCTTGATTCCAAGCGCGAGGTAGGCTTGGCTATCGAAGACGGCCACTACTGTATAAAGGCCCTGCGCGATGACAGTGAGGACCTTGCTGGCGGAGGTGGTGGTAGATGCTTTGGGTCCTTGCATCAGACATTGGCACTCCCATTTGGGCTTCTAGTGTCAAGGTAGATTGTAAATAAAGAATGGATGATGGGGGGGGATGGGGGGGATGGGGGTGCAGGATGAGCAAAGCTCAGGTTGCCGAGAGAGATGGAACGCGGAGAGTCGACGATCCGATGGACGGTTGAAGTAACCTGATTACCCTGATTACCCTGGTTACCCAAGCCTACCCTAGCCTACCCTAGCCCACCCTAGCCTACCCTAGCCCCACCCTAGCCCACCCTACCCTACCCTGCCCACCCTGCCTTACGACGAGCGAGGAGGACGAGACCGAGACCGAGACCGACTCTCGACAACTGAAACCTTCCCGGCGACCACGAACAAATCAAGCTGGTGTGGCAGGAGTGTGGTAGTGGTCGTGGCATCTGCAGTTAAAGCTTTGGCTCAATGCCGATATACTCTGTGGACCAGAGTAAGCTACTACTAGCTCTGTTCAAGTCTCAAGAGGCTTCGTTGTTGTGCCGAGTAGAGTAGAGACAATAAAGGTAAAGCGAGAAGATTGTCGGATGGTGGGTGGTGTTGTCACGGTCGTGGGTAGGTGTCCGTAGGTTGTACTCCGTACGGTGATGATGAGTACTCGCCGCTGCAACTCCGGCCAGGTAGTAGTAAATAAATACTGTACTACGACGTCCCAGAAAAATGTAGTAGTAGCTACTAAACCTAACCGGGTGCCCTCTCTTTGCCCGCCATTACCTTTCTTTGCCTTTGCCACGAGGTCCCAAGATGGATGGGTAACAGTAAACCATGCAATTGAATATCATGTCGGACCGATGCATCGCTAAGTAAGTCTTTTTGTACTCTTGCTACAATCCATCTGTCCATCCATCCATCCATCCATCCATCCACCCATCCATCTATCCATCCATGCATGCATGCATCCATCCATCCATCCATCTGGTGCGACCCACCTCCCCTCGGCAAGACTTGAAGAAGCGAGATAGAAGGAGAAAACAAGCAGAATATCATCTATAACACCTTGTTGCGACTCGGATTCAAGAGGAGTGCCCGTTACCAACCAACGCTTGCCACAGGTATAAGCGACTCTGAATCCGATTAGTTTTCTTATCATTCTTGGCTGCTCGTCTCGGCTGCACTACCCCAGAACATACGACCAGGTAGGATTTGGGCCGTCAACTCAATTGTCCAGGCGCCCCTAAAAATAAACGATCAATACTCTCCCCTGCTGTCTATTCCAGACAGCAGATACTATATCGCATTCAATCAACATTCATCCGGACCCCTAAGCCCGCAGCCAGATCAAGAAGCCTTTGCTTCGACAGGCAACCGGGACGACCTAGCAATATGGCAGGGACAATGTGCGGCCCGGCAGTGACCCTTTTGTACTCCTTATGGCATAGCACACCATAGCACAGCTATAGCTGGTCAATCATGCTATCAGTACCTGCCCTACCAACCTATGTTATGTACTGGGTCCGGGTGCCATAGCTCCTGAAACCCCCAACCCGTTGATACAAAGCGACGCGGTAAGAAAGGCTCCCTCGCCGGCCAGAGACATACAATATCTGCAGCGGGAACCGTAAGGGGAGAGAGATGCGGACCACGAGGAGAAAGTGTTGAGACTGCGACGGGTAGCCGCTTGTGACTTGATTTGATAGTCAGCTGCAGGAAGCCTTCGAGATGGGCAGCGCGGTTGTGGTTGTGTGGTTGTGTGGTTGTGAGATTGTGAGATCCAGCAACGCCAACGGCTGCCTACCTACGCCTCCTGCAGTTGCAGTTGCAGTCGCTGTCGCTGTCGCTGTGGTTGTGGTTGTGGTTGTGGCTATCGCGGTGCGCCCCGGAGGTTCCCGTTCTGGGGAAAAGTAACGAAGATGTCATGAGCGGCCCGGGAAATACCCAACAACGTCGACTCGATGTCGTCTGCTCTGCATAGCCAGCTCGTCAAAGCTTCATTGCTTGTCTGTTTTCCAGGGTTCAGGTGTCCTGCGGCGGGGAAGTCAACGAGATGATCCAGTTACAAATGGAAATAATCGGTGGGGTCACGATTGTACTAAACTTGAATTGTGGTATGGTCACGTGTTGATATGGTAATGATAGATAAGGATAAGGATAAGGATAAGGATAAGGATAAGGAACCTCTGGCCGGTGTTTTTGGCTTCATTTGCAGCTCTTATACTTGTTCACCTTACCATACCTTCCTTACCTTAGCTTACCTATAGAGCGAATCTCTGCTTGAGGTTTTCCTCACAGCAATACTTATATATATACATATATAAATATAGATAGTGTATCACTCGCAATCATGATCATGGTGTTCGGGCATATGAAGTCCGAATCCTCAATAACTTATTGCCTATCTACCTTCCTACCTACCATACAGTACATATCATCCCAACTAAGCCCCCCTTCAAGAGCCGCCATCAACGCCACCCCGAACACGGTAAATATTTCTCGATACGGAAAGCAGCTTCCCCAGCTGCTTGCTGCAAAATGAGCTTGCCTCCGGCTCAGCCAGCTTACATCCTGCGTGGCCACGTCTCTCAAATCCACTCCACAGCTTTCATACGATACAACCGCCGGCTCGTGACTGCTGACGCGGATGGATGGATTGTGATCTGGAGTCTGGCGACCAAGAGACCGACTGCTGTCTGGAGAGCTCATGGGGCTGCCGTTCTTGCGGTCCGGGCTTGGGGGTCCGAAAAGATTATCACGTCAGTACTTACATATTGAGTCCCTTTGCCGGGTGTATTTCCGAGCGGATGCCTTTGTCTTCACTTATATCTCTCTGGAAGCTTGCAACTCCGCTTCGATACCGAGTTGTCTTTATTGCCCTTCCGACATGTCCTTCCAACCATGTCTCAAGTCTTGCAAACATTCTGACACCATCACAGACACGGCAAAGACAACAAGCTCATTGTATGGAAACTCTCTGAAGAAGACGAAGAATCCATGAGCAAAGTCCTCCCCGTCGAAACACCACCCGTACCACGCAAAGAACCATGGCTTCTTCACGTCCTCTACGTCAACACCATGAACTTCTGCTCGTTCGCCCAATGGTCCCTACTAAGATCCGATGCAGAACTTTTACTAGCGGTACCCAACACGCTCAGCTCCGAGACCGTACGTTCCTACCCACCCAGCTGACCTCTTCTGACACGACCAGGTTGATATCTTCCACTTACCGTCCTCCAAACGCATCCACATGGTACCCAATCCTCCGTCTCTGAAGGGCGGCATGGTGATGGCTGTATCAATCTTCGAACATGCCCAGACAGGCCTTCTGACCGTCGTGGCCGGCTACGAAAGCGGCCACACAACAGTCTCTCAGTTCTCAGAAGCAACATGGAAACCTCTCTACATATCCCAAGCTCACGCGCAACCCATTCTCTCCCTCGATGTCTCTTCTGCGAAAGATTTCTACCTCACGTCCTCCGCCGACGCCATTATCGCCCAACACCCTATCCCTTGTGCAGCCGAAAAGATCACGATGGCTGTCGAGAATATGCCCTTGAAGACTCTCCAAACAAGGCATTCTGGCCAGCAGGGTCTGGTGATCCGCAATGACGGGAAGGTGTTTGCGACTGCGGGGTGGGACTCGAGAGTTCGAGTCTACTCTGTGAAGGCATTCAAGGAGCTGGCGGTGCTGAAGTGGCATAAGGAAGGGTGTTACTCAGTCGCATTTTCCGACGTGGAGTCTGAGGCTGTGAGGGAGAAGGATACGGGGGAAGAAAGCATGGATTTAGCCCGGAGGGAAGGTGCCCTGACCGTGAAAGAGGAGAGGCTGTGGAAGGCTCAAACGGCGCACTGGCTCGCTGCTGGGAGTAAGGACGGGAAGGTCAGCCTGTGGGACATCTATTAAATTAAATTGACCTGAGCCTGGCTGCGCATGCGCAATGCGGCGATCGTACGTAGTATTTGTTGACCGATGATGAGTGGCCCGAACGCCGGGTGTCGAGGTCTTTTATTTCCCGCGCGTCTGTCTTTTCAACGACCCAGGGTCGTTCATCAAGGCCACCAGCCTCGGTCTGGCGGATGCACGCCGGGCGCCCACCCGCCCACTCACTGCCTGGCCTCGTGCATATCGATGCATATATAGTACGTAGTAGATGCATACAGATGCATATCGATGCATATAAATCCATACAGATGCATAGACGTAGATCCGCACGCACCCCATCGGTTTCTACTTACTTACTACGTACTCACCTATCAAGACACCACAAGCAGAATCAGACAAGGAGCTCCCTCATACCTACCTCCCGTACGGTACTTGCACCTACCTAGGTACCTACCTACTGTAAGTTACCGTACTACTGTACCGTACTACTGTAGCGGTGAGCGAGCCCGTCGCGCGCTAACCTCGCTGCTTCAGACGGCGCTCATCACCTTCTCGTCGGCTCAACTCTCTCGCGTTACCGCCCCCGTCTCTGCATCGCTGCGTCTGCTACGCCGCTGTGGCTGTGGCTGTGGCTGTGGCTGTGGCTGTGGCTGTGGCTTTGGATGGCGTCCAGCGTCCAGCGTCCGTCTTTCGCATTCTTTGCTGCCCGGGTAGGGGTTGGGGATGGGCGAGTAAGTAAGTAAGTAAGTAAGTAAGTAAGTAAGCAAGCAAGCAGGAGCTAGGAGCGGAGGTACATAGTAGTAGTAGTAGTAGTAGTAGTAGTAGTAGTAGTCGTAGTAGGAGTAGGAGTAGGAGTAGTACCGGTAGTAGTAGTAGTAAGTAGTACCCTTGAGGCCTGACTGCTGGTTGGATCCAGGGGGCTCGGTTAGCCCAACACAGCAGGGCCCACCGCCCACCGCCCTCTGTCTTTATCGTGCCTGCCGCTGGCGCCGAATGAAAATCGAGCCACCTTCTCCTCGGTACCAGTACTGCGTAAGTACTACGTACATGGCAACAAGCCGACGCGTGCCTGGTACAGTACAGTATGGTTTGATGACCTGCTCGTCGACGAGATCGAGGACGGGGCGGTGAGGAGTTTACTCCTTTACCGTAGCGGAGAGGTCAGGATCGATAATTACTTCGGACGAGCATGTTTGGAAAAGCTACGTAGTACCACTACCTTCTATAGTACTTAGTAGTACTTCGTACAAGCGCCCGTCCGAAAGCTTAAATGTGTCGATACGGAAAGTCTCAGGGTCAAGTGGGTGTCGCCATGGAACCTGGGATAAGAGCAGTTTGCGCACGCTCCCTCGAGCTAATCAGTACCTACCTACCGTACTTCATCTTCCGTGGTGTGAAGCCCTCGGAACCAGCTAGGTAGGTAGCTCCCTCGAGAGAAAGGAGGCTCGCTGTTGACATCGTCGTCGTTTCCTGCGTGCCGTCTGTCTGCCTTGATGTCAGCGGCCCGTCCCTACGAAGACGAGAAATCGCCGTGTGGACAGACAGACAGACAGACAGACAGACAGACAGACAGACGCTCGATCGCGGACGGTACACCGTCGCTGAAAGACGTCCTGAGAGCACCCACCGGCCGGGCGGGCACATTTCCATCGCCACACGTACGGTTCTGCGTTCTCTTCTGGTCGCGGTCGAAGCCGAGCCTGGACCCCTTCCTAGAAGTAGTATCTGTCGGCCTGGGACGAAGGCACGAGCAGATCAACAGAGGGACCGTCTCCTCGCTGCAGGCACTGTCTCCTTTCGGCCGTTCCCGTCACGGGTGGTTTCTTTCACTACGGTAATAGCAGCATCGCAGTGATGTTCCCGACGCGTTGCAATACCTACCGTAGTCGGGAGGGGGGGAACCTGCCTTTTAACTCACTTGCCTACCGTACTTATGTTCAAGATGCAAGGATAACGTTTGGCGCAGACACAGTACTAGGTGGTAGTAGGTAACTAACTGCTGATGTAGTAGTACAAAACCACTTTTCGCACCAAGACCAAGGGCCAACACTTCCGAGAAGATCAACATCAGCCGGTGTTCATTAGTTCTGTCCTCGGGGAAGTAGTTGATTAGTACCGTCGAGCTTGAATCTGCTTTGGAATAGTCCTAGATCCAAAAGATGAAGCTGAAGTCGCTCTTTTTTTTTCTTTTCTTTTCTTTTCTTTTTTTCCTGAAGACTTCTTCTAAAGTTCAGCGAAGGCCAACCGTCTATTGATCACCTCTCTCAAATCACGAAAGACAAAAACCGCAATCGTCTTCGACTTCCAATCCCCTCCCTGTCATTCAACAGGTGTGTAACTCTTTATGTACCTCTCAAAGCCTACGGTCGTCGAGATTTCCGGTGCGCAAACGACAAAAAAGGTTCGGCGCGTCAGCAGCCAGCCGTTCCGAGGCCGACGCTCCCCCACCGCGACGCTCTCGGCCAGCGATCTACCGACAGCAGATTCCCAACCCCGGGATCCTGAAGCGGCGAGGAAGAGTCCGTTCGTTGGGGCGGCCCTTCCCGAGATGCTATCCCCCGAGCGACGCGTTCGTGTTGTCTGCTCTGCTCGTCCTGCCGCTGCCATCCATCCAGGGCCGGCCTCCCTTTAGCTCGACTATCTCTTCTGCCGGTAAGTCAGTCACTGCTAGGGGACGGTGGGCGGCGGGGAGGGTTTTCGGTAGTAACAACTAACCCTGAGAGAGAGAGAGA